CTCACCCGCCCCCGCGGCCAGCGCCTCGCGGCGCGTTCTTTGCGGCGGCGATCTGCAAAGGGGTGGTGCGGGCGCGGGGGTTGCGCCCGCGAGCGTTGACGTGGTCATGGCCGGCGAGGGGGATGAGGCCCCAGTCCGCGACCGCGGCGTCGACGCCTCGGCGCGCCTCGTGGAGGCACGTTACGTTGCCTTTTCCGTCTTATTCAGTGTAAATATTTTTCAGAAAATTGCCAAACAATTTAATAGGATATTCGCACCGGAAACAGTTAAGAAATCAAAATCCAAACTTTTTTGAAAATTCCCATGAACTTTTGACTAACGTTTCTAAATACAATTTTGTTGAAAAATAGGAACAGCAAAAGAACATTGGGTGTGATGGATATTCGCGACAAACGTGTCCCCCTCTCAATGAAAACAGATACTCAGTATTAAAATCATTTGGCATCACAAAAGCTGTATAAGCAGTTATTATGCCTATCCGCATATTAATATTATTCTTTCTCAGCAAGATGGAGCATAGGAAAACAATCATTTCTCTGTTTGCCGCCTTCGCCTATCATGTGGCATTCTTAGGCGATATTGATGATGGTCCCTCGCGATTGAGCCATTACAAAAGAGGGAACAACACCGCAGCCGATATTTTTCAACTAATCACAAAAGTCACCGATATAAATGGACACCCGGTCCCGTATTTATTGGCGACAACACGCCTCTCATTGAGATGGAGATGAGCGAGGAAGAGTTTCTTTCCGCTTTCGGTATTTTATTCGAACCGTGTCGCCGGGTATTTATATAGTGAGGCTGTAATTATGGGAGGGCAGGGCGCGGGAAGAGCACCGAAAAATTGGTAAAGTTTAGACTGCTTGTGGGCGACACTACGGCAGGGGGGAAGGGGGGGGTCTTACTTTAGCATATGTCACATGGCAGCTGCCGCACCGCATCAACAAGAGAGGGGAGAGGGGAGAGGGGGGGAGGGGGGGCAAAGGGGGAGGAAAGTAAGTGGAGGAGCTTGCCCGCCTAATTTGGGCGGGGTCTCCTCCCGGTATGACAAATTTGAAGCGCACGCACGCGCGTCAACGCCGTTGTGGCGAGGCGCGACGACCCGCCGGGGAGAGAGGGGCACAGGGAACGACAGGGGGAGGCTTAAAAGCTCCCCCCCCCCCCCTGTACCCAGACTCCCCACGTCAGCGCCTGTCCCATAGCAGACGGCACAACAATGTTTCAAACTCCAAAATAGTCGATCCGAATGAAACATTTACCCCCTTTTCTCGGTGCCTTGTAGCTTCGTACAATTCACTCAAGATGTTGGAAACTTCTTCCTCACCTTTAGAATATAGTTAATATACCCCACAAAATATTTTCTTTTCGCAATCCCCCCCCCCCACCCCCCTCATATTTCTTTCTTTCTCTCTCACACCCGCGCGAGCTACCGTGCGTGCTCAAGTCCAGGTTGGCTCTCACACGGCAAGTGCTAAGTGGCACCCTGTGCCATACTCCTCCTCGCCGTGGCGTGGGTCTGAGCGTAGCGGGCCCCGGCCCCGCGGCGGCCGCATCCGATGCCACACGTCCAGATGCTATCGCCGCAAAGGAGCCACTGTCCAGCCCAACATCCAAGAATGACAGCCGGATACTTAGTACCTCAACCCCCCTCCCCATCCCCCCTCTCTCTCCCTGACACACACACACAATCCCCCTCCCCACTCACACACATTCACGAGCAAAAGGCAAAGGCGGAGTCACCACCTAAGAGCTGGGGAATGGCAGCAGACACCAACAGCATGTTTCGCCGCCTTCCGGATTAGCAGCGACGGGACACCCGCGCGTGGCGTGCGCACGTAAGCCCGCACGGAGTGACTCAGTGACCGCTCGTCCCAAAACGCACCCAGCCATTCTTCAAAAGCAAAACTGACGACCCAACTATGTAGTAGGTTGGTTGAAAATGTTTGTTTTGTGAAATAAGGTAAATATGAACATGCCTCACTGGATACGTCCTAGGTGTATGAATGGCCCACAATTACAGCTGCGTGACTTCCAATTCGCACATTCGTAAGGTAAAAGTGTGAATTCCCTGTGAATTTCGTACATTTGTACCCACAAAGGGAGCAAATAGAAATGCACACGCCTTCAAGTGTGCGACGTACACACCCTTGGGCCTTTGGGTTTCCTGTTCGCTTACACTGGTAAAACAAGTGTGCACAATTAGCACACCAACGTGGGCAAGTTATGGTTTTAAACATTACATGGTGTATAACTCAAGTTGCACACTTGCGTGCTGTGCACATTATGAACGTTTTGTAAACTTTAAGTCACACAGTTCTACTCTGCAAATCTAACTGTATAACAACTTGACAGTTAAAACTTCAAAACTAAAAGTTTTGCAGTTGAAACTGCAAAACTAAAAGTATTACAGTTAAAACTGCGAAACTGAAAAGCTCTACGGTTTAAACTGCAAAACTGTGTAGTTCAACAGTTTAAACTGCGAAACTAAAAAGTTCTACACAATGTGTCTATAAAATGCACACTTTAACTTAAACATCACTTGTCGTGCAAAATTAAACACTTGTTTTACCAGTGTATACAACAAAATGGATGCATGTGATACATGTGCAAGTTAAGAATGTTTGAGTTAATTTGAATCGGAACCGAAAGTTTTTTGATTTGGCGAATAGTTTGTTGTAGAAACGAAAATTTTGTTGCAGCAGAGGAAACAGAAGATTGGCAGTGTGTAACCGAGCAAAGGAGCATTACATGGTGCTCTCTTGCATCTCCACTCCACCACAGTGGCCCGTCTTTGTTGGAAGCAGCGCGCAAGGGAGCCGACCCAGCCGCGCCCTAGAGAGACGCGCGCGCGCGTGTGTGTGTGTGAGTGTGTGGAGAGAGAGAGCATGTGTGTACTGTATGTGGGCTGAGATGACCCATACGAGACCCCTCAAGCTGTCTAAATAATTATTACGAGATTCGCATCTTAGCAGCAGCCATGCGGCGTGCCACACACACACACATACACGCACACGCACACACACGCACACACACACACACACACTTACGGCGCGCACGTAGTACGAGCGCAGAGGGCTACCGCGCCGACACTTGATTGTCCGTGATAGCTCGCTCCTCCTGCGTCTTCCTATGGTCCAACAACGGTCCCTGCTACGCTCCGTCTCCCTATTCTACTCAGAGATGAGAGCGTGTGACATGCAATCACACACGTTTCATGTGTGCACCCTGCACTCAGAGGTGAACTAAACTTACTTACCCAATGTATTTGCATGTTTTTATGTGCACTTGTTCGCGCTAACTTAAACCTACGTATCATTGCTTTAGACGATTGTGTGCGCAAAACTGCATAATTTCGTACATAGGAATGCTTTAGGTGCGAATAAGACTTACGGACATCCAGTTAGTGTGCATTTTTATTCCGCTGGGATTTTTTACTGAACACATGCCGTAAGTATACGTTCTTATGAAAACGTTTCCGCATGCTCGCGAACGATGTGAAACGTTTTAACACCTCTGGTGTGTCTTTGTTCCGACCAAGACCCACCCCCTTCGCACAGCAAGCTGCCCTCCCGCTAAAAAGCGCTTTCTGCCGCTAAGCAGCCGGCGCATCCGACCGCGGAAGCAGAGAGAAATTCGCGGGCTGCTGCACGGATCTCGCGCGGCGTAAAAAGGGTTGCGGAAAGAGAGAAGGGGAAAGAGACAAGCGTCGCGCCCGGAGCACTCCGGACTCGAGGGCTGGGGCGGAGGAGCGGCCGGAGCCGAGTGGTTCCCACCCCTCCACTCCCACCCCCTTTCCGGAAAGGGAAGAAACCGTCGCGCCATTTCGCCATTTTATTAATAATTCGCGAAGGACGGGGCTGGGCGGGGAAATGAGTATAACAGGCATCTGGGTGTGGGGATGAGAATGTAAAAATGAGATTTTAGTCCCCGCACTTAAATGTGGGCTAAAGTAAAACCCACACAAAATATCTACAATCCAGATACCTCTACACGAAAACCACTGAAATTGTAATCGAACAACCACCTTGGTACGCAGTACGTGCACTTTTCAATTTGATTATATATAGGTTAGAAACAATAGTTTAGTTGTTCTAGAATAGTTTTGCATATATTGAAGAGCAGTAAAATCTCTTTTTAAAATACTAAGTGCAATCTTATTGAGATAGTTCTAGAATGAATTGTGCATATTTTGTATGCACGATTAACAGAATTTGTTGCAAACTTACGACAGCCCATTCTTGCTCGTCGATGAATTTCAAGTCCATACACAGTGCTTCCAATTTTTACTGTATTTTAGAACACACATCATGGACATTTTACCGGTAACACTTACAAGAATTTCTCCCGGTGGTCCTATCCAAATTTGTGAGCAGTGTACGCGAGCAAGTGCGAACGCGAAGTCCCGGGGTGGGGTTCGGGTCCCGGACGACTCCGCCGTGGCCGTGCCACGCGGCGCCACGCCCGGGCGGCCCGAGTGGACGATCACCCGTGTATATGGAAATGCGGCCGTGTTCCCCGGCACTTGACTCGTGCGCGCGGGAGAGCGGGAGAGGAAAAGAGGGGCGGTATGAGCGAGAGGGACAGGAGGGGGCGGGAAGAGCGGTTCGGTGGCCTGCGACTTTGGAATTGGCAGCAGATGGACATTGAATAATCCTCTAATGTAAGCGTTATTGCAAGCAAGAAGGGTGGGGCGGCGGGTTCTCTCGTGCAATGCCGCCTCTACGGAAAGGAGTCGCGAGTCGCGAGTTCATAAACGAATAGGCGCACAAACTTAAATTACAGGTATTACGCTCGCCGGCGACTGGGAAAGTCAAACAACCGACTCGGAAAGTGTTTTGGGAAAATGTGGAGGCGCAAGAAGAAAATGTTGTACGAGGAATTCCCTTGCGTGCAAGAGAAAGGGTTAGTGCATTCCACGCACATTTCCACCTACGCTATATACTGCTATGAGGAGGGGGGGGGGCATGGGTAGTGTTACGAAGGGCCTGGTATAGTATGGAAAACTAGCAAGTCAGAAAGGCGAGCGGGCGGACGGGCCGGCGGGCCGTGGGCGGACCTAGTGCGTTCATATCAGCATTGCAAATCAACGGTCGGTCTTCAGTCTACCGGGGAACCAGAGGGCCGGGCACGGGTCGGAGTGGGGCCTGGCATGACGTATCCGACCAGCTGCCTGGAACTCCAGCGGGCAGAGTCACTTAGCGCCGCCGCTGCTGCTGCTGGAGGGAGGGAAGGGAAGTCTGGAAAAGTGCCTCCAGCGCTCAAGGACGCAGGGGGTGGGGGAGGAGGGGAAGGGTGCATCGTTGCATTGGGACGGATGACGGATGGGTGGATGAATGGATCTTTTAATCCTGTTCTGATGTGACAGGGAGTGGAGTGGAACCGCGGGGGATGCGTGAAATCCTGCGCGTTCACGACAACGCCTGCGAGCCAGCGCGTATGCAACGCGCCATACTGGCATGTAAGAGCCGGGACACCCGGTACAAAAAGAATTGCGGGTTGTTTTCCCCCGGGGCACGATCGGGACTATCCTCACCTACCTCGACTTTTCCTGTGGAGTATGAATCACACACAGTCCAGTTGGCCCGAGTACGGACCGCCGCCACGCCGAGCCGCATGGGGAAGACTTCGAAGCAGTGCGCCGCGCGGGTGGAAGAAGAAAGCACGGAACTTGGCCTGAAAAACGGGAATCTTTATCAACCATCGTATGGGTAGCTGATCTGAGGGGACAACCAACCAAAAGATGACACAAAAAAACGTATATAATTATCGACACCTTGGGATAAAAGGCACGTTAGTTCGGCTGTTAGATCCGAACTCCACACAGTTCAGCCGCTCGTTCCGAGACACGGTAAAAAAAATGTCTCATTTTTTGGGGGGAAAAGGGATAACTCTGAGGAACTCCCCTGCTGAAAAAGGGAAAACTTTGAGGAACTCCCATGTTTGATGAAGAGTCCTCCGATCTTGCCTCAGATTTTGAGGAATGTTAACAAAAAATGAGCAAAAATTCCACATTTTTTTGAGGAGATTTCCTAGAAATCTGAGGATTTTTCGTCAAACCAGGGGAGTTCCTCAGAGTTTTCTCTTTTCCCTCAAACAATGAGACATTGTTTTTACCGTGGATCCACGCAGTTAACTCAAAAGATCCAAGACTCACGCAGTTCCTATCCCTGTAGCGAAGAACTGCGTCCGCGACTGCGTCGATCTCGGATCCAGCTGCTGAACTGCGTATTCCAATGTGTCGACTTCATTCATCGAAACCAACAGGGAACAATTTCGTTTTCCCGAGCCAAGCGTCCCGAAATCGCTCGGAATAACGGCACTATTTGGACAGGACAGTTTCCCCTCGCCGAGTCCTCTTACCCTATCGTGCCTTTTACTTCTTCGACGGGGCGGCGTGACGCGCGGGTGGCTGCGGTTGTGCCCCGCGGCCGGGCCGTCAATCCAATGAGGAGAGTGAAAATTGGGAAGACGAGAGCCGATAGTGGTGAAGCGGAAGGGGCAAACCGACCCAGGAGAAGGGAAAGGGGGCGAGGGGTAAGAGTCGGAGAGAGAGGGAGGAGGGGATTGCAGGTTAATCGAACACGCGATAGGACTCAGTTGGACCCACGCGACCAGGCCAGCCATTTGATCTAGCCGCATCGCGCGGCGGCGTGACCCCTCGAATGTACTCCCCCCCCCCCCTCTCCTCATCCCACCCGCTCATCTCAAGTTGGGCCGCGGACCGTCCTTTCACACCTACGCTCCGGGCCGCCGATATCGTAGAGGATCGACAATTAGCACCTTTCACCGCACCGCAGGGCGGGTGGCGGGGCGGGGCGGGGCGGGGCGGGGCGGATCGCGGTCACGACACGGGACACGGCGGCGCACCACCACCGCGGGCTGGAGCAGCGCTGCGTCTGCGGCGGGTGGGTTGCCTACCCCTCAGGAGCTTCGGCTGCCCCCACCAACCTGTCCTGACGTGAAAGTCAGGCTACAAGTGACCCATACAATCATTCAATTCTGGTTCAGTTAAGTCCCCCGGTCAAGCCCGAATTTTTATGCGCGGCAGCGAGACATAATGCGTTCGAAACGCGATGAGTAGCAGACGCCGCCCCTGCAGCGGACCGCCAAGGACCACGCGCCAGGAGCGGGCGACTATATATTTGAGAAAACCGCGCATCAAAGCAGCTCAGAGATAAGGACTGGAGGGCGGCGCGGGCTGGCGGTAGAGGGTGCCGAGGGGCTGGGTACCTCACGGCACGGCGTACGTTCTGCCGAGTGGCGAGATAAGGGAACGGAGCGTGTTCCAAATACTTCAGCGACCCACGTAAGGTACTTGTTCTCTGAAAACCGACTAAAGAAAATAATGCTCGATTTTCTTCACAACACCTTAAGTTAGACTTTGTATAACCCTGCAACTTACCGATACTCATATTGGCTACATGGTAAAGGTCCGACCGGAGGAAAAATATCAAGTTTTAAGGTTTAAGGAGTAGGAGGGGGGGGCGTAAAGTAAAACATCACTCCGGACGGTGCATCGCCGCGGCGGCGCAGGGCGCAGGTGTTTTGCACTCAGCCCGGCCTGTGCAGTGGCTTATGAGCAAGTTGAGTCCACCGGGTCGGATGCATAGCGCCCCCCGCCCCCCTTCCCAAACCTGCCCCCGACGGCCCCCCGGGCGCCCCCCGTGGAGTCTAATCAGCAGTAATCCAGTTACAAGCACTACGTGCCGCCCCCGGACTAGCCGGACCGGACCCCAAAACTTTGTCTGTATGGTCCTGATTATGGCACCTGCAACCGCCGATATGAAAAATTCACCCCTATATTGCTCAAGTTAGTTACACAATAAACATTTTCACTTGTATGCAAACATTGTTTAAATAATTCAACTAATTAACCTTATGTTTTTGCACACTGAAGGGCTTTTTTTGTGTCTAAAACTTTGTCTGTATGGTCCTGATTATGGCACCTGCAACCGCCGATATGAAAAATTCACCCCTATATTGCTCAAGTTAGTTACACAATAAACATTTTCACTTGTATGCAAACATTATTTAAATAATTCAACTAATTAACCTTATGTTTTGGCACACTGAAGGGCACTTTTTGTCGCTTAAAAGATTCATTTTTGTCATAAGGAAAGATGCAAATTCGCCAAGATGTGCCCAAAATTGCTTCTTTTAATGGAAAAATTATTCCTTCAAGGAGTCCATCACAATTTAGAGTGTAAAATAGGTACGGTAAACATGAAAATCACCCCCACTTCACTTTAGAATCTATACGCCTGAGAGTGTGGAGTGTGGTGTTGTGGGTACACAGCCCAGAATCGGGAGGAATACTAAGTGATTACCCTAATAAATTTACCCTGAGAGATGGGTGATGGAGGTGGTGGATCCAGAGGGGTAGCCAGAGCCAGCCCGCCCGCCCGCCTGTCCAAGCTTAACTACTAGTATTCGCAAGTAGATAGGAGGAAAGTAAGAGAGGCATAATTAGTTTCCTGGCCCCGCCCCCTCCCGCTGGCCACATCGCGTCGGAAACTTCGCAAAGGCCATACAACTGCCCCCTCCCTCACTCAACTACCCCATCCCCTTTTCCTCTATAGGGGGGAGTAAGGGGAAGGGGGCAGGGAAGAGGGGTATAGAGAAGCAAACATAAAATCACCTGAAGTTTAGCAACACGCCAATGGCTCCCCCCCCCCCCCTTTCCGATGACGCCGCCGGCGCTGCCGCTCTCGCTTGACACCATCAGGACCAGCCGTCACAACCAACACCACCCCCTCTCCCCCCTGGTAGATGTTCTCTTTATGAACTCTGCCATTGGCCGCCGCGGATGGCGCACAGAAGCAACAACAACAGTGGCGGCAGTGGCCCCCCCGGCCAGCCGTCGCGTCGTCGTTCGATCTTGTTTCCGCCATCGAAAGGAGCGCACCAAAACTTTTCGAAGAGTTGACAATCGCGCCCCGGCCCGGGGCAGGTTCTGCACGGGGATGAGCCTTTTACGTGTGAATAAACGTTGCGACAGTCCACCTCCCCTCCACCCTCACCCACCCCCTGCAGCGCGATTGTGAAGAAAGGAGAAGGGGGAGAAACGCGACAACTGAGGTTCAGGAGCGCCGCGGGGTTCGCGGCGCGCCCCCGCAGGGCCTCGGGAGGGGGCGAGGGCGGGCACCTTTCACTCGCACTTGCTCAAGATCTCACTCCGTCTTCGTCGCACCACCCACCGTGAAAAATACGAGACATTTTCAGAAAATTTAGCATTATTGTTTTGAAAGTTTGAATGTTGTAAATTTGTGACATCTCATTCTTGCTCGTCGACTAAAACAAAGTTAACACATTGTGTCTTGAAAACAAGTAAATTTTTGCAATACAAATTTTGTGCCATTACAACATTTTTCATTGATTTCCCCCCCCCGCGTATTCCAATGTGTCGACTTCATTCATCGAAACCAACAGGGAACAATTTCGTTTTCCCGAGCCAAGCGTCCCGAAATCGCTCGGAATAACGGC